GCGGGGAGCTGGATTGGAAGTGGATCAGCTGGGACTCAAACCAGCATCTGGATAGGATGCTAATGTCAGCTTTGCCTGCTACACCCTAACACCAGGCCCGTGAACATATATTTATTATTCGTTAGGATTTCATTCTAGGCACTGAGAGTGCTATTGCTTGGGAGGCGTAACTTCCAATGGGGAAGATAGTAGGCCAGGGAAAGAGGTCATTTCAGCTAGTGGTGATAGAGCAGAGAATAAGACGGGTGATGTGTTGTGAGGAGCAGGCTAAAAATGGGGGCTACTTCAGATGGAGTGGTCATGGAACGATCTCCATTGAGGATTCTTCACTTGGAAGGTGACCTAAAGGACAAGAGTCACTGTGAAAAGCTCTGAGGGAAGGGCCTGACGTGGCCAGAGAGCCAAATTTAAGGCCAAATGGCTGGAGGGTTGTAGTGGAGGGGAGGAGAGTGATGGTCCTTCCATGTCCCTCTGAGGAGGTGGGCCTGATTGACAGTCAGGAAGACACCGAGAAGCTCTGCCTGTCTCTCCCTGGTCTGACTTCCCAGCCTTCTTACACCTTGAAAAGTTTGTGAAGGAGTTCTCCTAAAGGTTTTTATTTACTCCTTGAAGAGGTGATAAATTCACACAATTGCAAGCTGTTGAAGTACCAATAAAGAGAACAAGGCAGATTCTCCACTCAGGTACTGTTTTCCTTCTGTGAAAGTAACCAGTGTCCTTAGTGTTACATTGCTTTTCACAAATGCTCTATAGATTTTTTTTCCCAATATGTACATTTTTTTTAAAGATTTATTTTTATTATTTTTTTTTATTGGAAAGGCGGATATACAGAGAGGAGAGACAGAGAGGAAGATCTTCCGTCCAATGATTCACTCCCCAAGTGAGCACAACAGCCGATGCTATGCTGATCCGAAGCCAGGAGCCTCTTCCGGGTCTCCCACACGGGTGCAGGGTCCCAAAGCTTTGGGCCATCCTCAACTGCTCTCCCGGGCCACAGGCAGGGAGCTGGAAGGGAAGCAGGGCTGCCGGGATTAGAACCGGCGCCCATATGGGATCCCGGGCGTGCAAGGCGAGGACCTTAACCACTTGCGCCACCGCGCCGTCCTGTACATTTTTTTTTTTAAGATTTATTTTATTGGGCCTGGTGCGATACCATAGTGGCTGAAGTCCTTGCCTTGAAAGCTCTGGGATCCCATGTGGTCACTGGTTCTAACCCCGGCAGCCCTGCTTCCCATCCAGCTCTCTGTTTGTGGCCTAGGAAAACAGTCGAGGACGGCCCAAAACCTTGGGACGCTACACCAATGTGGGAGACCCAGAAGAAGCTCCTGGTTCCTGGCTTCGGATCGGCTCAGCTTCAGTTGTTGTGGCCATTAGGGGAACGAACTATCAGATGGAAGATCTTCGTCTCTATCTCTCCTCCTCCTTGTGTATCTGTCCTTTCCAATAAAAATAAATAGATCTAAAAAAATTTTTTTCACACAGATTTTTTTGCATCATATATCTGTATCATTATCCAAAATTGCTGGTGGTGGGGCTTTTAATTTATGTCCTTTTTGTGTTTATAAATAGTGTTTATAAATGGTGCTACAGAAAAATCCCTTTGGGCCTGGTGCGGTGGCCTAGCGGCTAAAATCCTTGCCTTGAACACATCAGGATCCCATGAGGGCACTGGTTCTAATCTCAGCAGCTCCACTTCCCATCCAGCTCCCTGCTTGTGGCCTGGGAAAGCAGTCAAGGCCCAAAGCCTTGGGATCCTGCACACATGTGGGAGACTTGAAGGAAGTCCGTTGCTCCTGGCTACGGATTGGTGCAGCACCAGCCATTGCTGTCACTTGGGGAGTGAATCATCAGACGGAAGATCTTCCTCTCTGTCTCTCCTCCTCTCTGTATATCTACCTTTACAGTAAAAATAAATAAATAGATAAGAAAAGTCCCTTTGGTACTTGTCAGTAGGGGTGCATTTCCGGGAAGTGGGAGTGCTGATCTTAGGGTGTGTACATTTCCTATTCTGAGACATTGCCCTTCTCAAGGATTGCAACAATTTATCCTTCATCCAGAAGTGTTCTTACCCTGAGCAAGTGTTACCAAACATTTTGATTTTGCCAATTCAGTGGGTGAAACTGTGTGTGGTTTAATTTGCATGTATCTTCATATGAATGAGAGTTGAACATTTTCTCATACATTTAAGACCCACTGATATTTCCATTTCTGTAACCCAGTGGTTGTTTTGCTCCCATTTTTTTAATAGGCCGTTAACTTTTTTCTTATTCTCTCAATTCACTTAATATTGCTGAATCCTTCTATAGATACACTGTTTAAGAATTTAAGAAGTGAAAAAATGCAGCATCTTTTTGTTGTTTTTCAGAGATTCATTTATTTTTATTAGAAAGGCAGATTTGCAGAGAGAAGGCGAGGCAGAGAGAAAGATCATCCATCCACTGGTTTAATCCCCAAGTGACAGCAACGGCCGGAGCCGAACCAATCCGGAGCCAGGAGGCTGTTCCAGGTCTCCCACACGGGTGCAGGGTCCCAAGGCTTTCCCAGGCCACAAACAGGAGCTGGATGGGAAGTGGAACAACCAGGAGAAGAATCAGCACCCATTTTAGGATCCCAGCGCGTGCAGAATGAGGACTTTAGCCACTAGCCTATCACACTGAGCCCAAAAGCAGCATCTTTGTATTGTAAAAGTTGACAAAGCATGCATCTGATAGGTGACAGTGAAGAAAATCTACCTTTCCTGTTCGTGATTGATCTCTTTTGTGCCTTTGGTTCCATTTTAAGAAGTATCTCTCAACTTTTAAAAAAATGTACATTTAGTATTTTGTTAGACTTGGTTGAATTGCAGAAAGTTTACTCATAACAAATATTCAGAAGTCATGTAAACCTTGCAACAAAGTCAGTGTGACCTGTAACAACTGTCCTTGGAGTAATGAGAGAAACGCTTACCTGCTGGGCTGTACGTGATTGAGTACACTGTAACAGAAATAACACAAAGCTCCTTTTAGGTCATATTAGTTTCTCAAAAGTGAGTATGCCCAAGTCTTTCATAGTTGTTTTTTTTTTTTTCCTTTAATCAGCAGTCTTTTTGGCAACTTCTGTTTTGGAAAATGCAGACGTCTCTCAGGTTTAAAATAGTTACATTAAGATTATTTCCTTACTCAGAAGCTATGCTAAGCTTTAAACTGAAAGAAAGAAAAAGAGAGAGATAGACTTTTTTTAAAGAGTCCCTATCTATTCTCTAGCAGGTTCTTTTCTGGCTTGCACATGCTGTACATTATGAAATTGCCAGTTTCCCACAGTTACGGCATATAAAACAGCAGTTTCATCAATCTAGTATCTACGGTCTTTTTTTTTTTAATTAATCTATTATTTTTAGAAACAGCGGATTTACAGAGAAGAGTGTCAGACAGATCATCTTCTGCTGGTTCGCTCCCCAAATGGCCACAACAGCCAGAGTTGAGCCAGTCAGAAGCCAGGAGCTTCATCTGGGTCTACTATGAGGGTACAAGATCGCAAGGACTTAGGCCATCTTCTGCTTTCCCAGGCCACAAGCAGAGAGCTGGATGGGAAGTGGAGCTGCTGGGATTAGAACCAGTGCCCTGATGGAATCTCAGCATGTTCAAGGCGAGGACTTTTAGCCATTAGGTCACCGCACCAGGCCCCAGGAGATAAACATCTTTTAAAATGATTACACAGGGCCCGGCGCGGTGGCGCAGTGGTTAAGGTCCTCGCCTTGCACGCCCGGGATCCCATATGGGCGCCAGTTCTAATCCCGGCAGCCCTGCTTCCCTTCCAGCTCCCTGCCTGAATCCCGGCAGCTCCACTTTTTATCCAGCTCCCTGCTTGTAGCCTGGGAATGTAGTTGAGAACGGCCCAAAGCTTTGGGACCCTGCACCCGCGTGGGAGACCTGGAAGAGGTTCCTGGTTCCTGGCTTCGGAATGGCACAGCACCGGCCCGTTGTAGTCACTTGGGGAGTGAATCATCGGATGGAAGATCTTCCTCTCTGTATATCTGCCTTTCCAATTAAAAAAAAAAAAAGAGTTGACCTTAAATTAGTCATTGATTTTTGTTATTAAATTGATGGCAAATTATAATCAGTCAGATGAAGACTTGACAGATGGATGAAATACCCAGCAGGACTGGGCTTTGAGGTGCCAGGCTAAGAGTTTGGGCCTTGTATGCCACTTTTCTAAAAGAACAAGTGGTTCTCATGTTGAAGGTTTGACATACTCAGTCTTGTTTAGACCATTACACTATAGAGATACATGGGGGAAAATGTTAATGAACTTAGATGAAACTGATAAGTTTTTCAGGCGTCAAAATATTTTTTACAGACCAGATTATGAAGACCATAAAAACAATGTATATTCTGATTAAGGGCCTCAAAGTGTAATGGAGGCACCAGAAGTGTTTCATGTATGTGAAAGAAGGCAGCAAGAAGTGTAGGATTGGTTTAAAGCCGTATCTGTTCAGCACAACAGCATTAATTCATTCTTTTTCTTTTTCTTTTTACTCTTACAGTTAAACATTCTAGTTAGAAATTGTTGATTGACTTGACTCTAGTCAAGAATGGTTGATGACTGCATGCTCTCATAACTCCTGCCAGGAGATGTGCATTAGAGATCGCTGGTAACTGTTAGCTGGTGACATCTCCGCTGTTGATAGAAGACTTCTGAGGTACATACCTTGATGTTACTCAGAAGATGATCTGTACTCATAGGTTGGGATTTCATGTAATAGGCTGGAAAATAAGCCTCAGTGTTGTCGACATACTAGGAAGTTTGGTATACTGGAAAGTAAGAGAATTTGGACAGTCTTACCTTTGAAGCCAGAAACAATGTATTTGAGCTCTGGTTGTCTTCCTGCAAAGATTCTCAAGGCATGACCCTCGAACAGACAGACCTCTTGTTTGCTAACATTGTGAGCATCTGCAGCAGTTGACATGAAGCACAAAAGAGGTGATGTAGCTGATGAACATTTTTCCCATGCTGCCTTCTAGGAGTGAAATTCGTCAGACTCGTGCTCTCCTAGTCCATCTCCCTTGCAGCAGGTTGTATGGCTAGAGCTTCTCCGAGCAGGACACGAAGTCTCTAGTTCTGCTGCTGCTGGGCTGGAAGACAGGTGAATACACTAAAATAAATAAATAAGGAAATGAAAGACTTGGCTGCAAAACATTGAAGGGCCTGGCAGCGTTTCCTAGCAGCTAAAGTCCTCGCCTTGAACGTGCTGGGATCCCATATAGGCGCCGATTCTAATCCCGGCGGCCCCGCTTCCCATCCAGGTCCCTGCTTGTGGCCTGGGAAAGCAGTCCAAAGCTTTGGGCCCCTGCACCCGCGTGGGAGACCTGGAAGAAGCTCCTGGTTCCCGGCTTCAGATCGGCGCAGCACCAGCCATTGCGGCTCACTTGGGGAGTGAATCATCGGACGGAAGGTCTTCCTCTCTGTATATCTGACTTTGTAATAAAAATGAAAAAAATCTTTAAAAATAAAACATTGGAAGCAGAAAGATGAGGGGAAAAAATAGTCAAAACCAAAACTGTATATTTTCTTTTGCATGGGGGCCGGGGTTTAATAAGGAACCAAGATTCAGTGGTAGCAGTCAAGGTATCTTGTTTCCAAAAATAGGCCTTTTCTTGGGCTTAGAGAACTTGTAAATTGTTAGATACATGTAAGGTCTTTTTTTAACTTAAAACGAAGGAAGTAGTATTTTATGATGTCTTGGCGTAGTGCTGAGCCTGCAACCCACACTTCTAGAGCCAAATTTTAACTAACGTGTAAAATTCTCATCTTCAGTGCCACATTGCCTAAAAGCAGGGATTTTGAAACTTTCCGGCCAGTAGTTGTAACTGGCGATAATGGTAAATGGCATTTATGGAAGTGTCAGAAGTATATTTATTTGTGACTGGACATAGAAGCAGTTCTGGGAGAATGTGTTTTCCATCAAATGCAAACTGCCTTGAAGGTGAACACAGTGACATTTGGCTTGTTTTCTTGATGCTGTGATGGAATTGTGAATCACGTGAGCCAGCAAGGCCCAGGTGCCAGTGTGGCGCTTGGCCAGTTAACTTAGTGGGCTAGCATGCCCTGTGTAGAACTTTGTTACCATCACCTGTGATTACAAGGGATACTTCGATTGTAAAAACCTGTGGGATAGTGTTTCTGACTCCCAGTCAGCATCTATTCTGTTCATTACTAGTAGCACTCAATGATGGCACAACTATACCTTACCAGTCTCCCTCTTCCCATTAATTAAAGAAGTCAGCAAATGTTTTTGAGTTGAATTACTATTGAATGATTGCTTAGACCTTTTTCTACAAAGAATTTGAGGGAGATTCCAAAAATACTTAACACATAAACAGTTGAAGCAGTTATAGCAAAGGGAATAATGACTTCTAAATAATAGAGCTTTTGCAAAATGTATGTGTAATCATTCATTTAAATAAAAGGTGTGACATGTAGACAGACAAATGAGCTTGTAGGTTTTTTGTTTGTTTTGTTTAAAATTTATTAAGGCTGCATTGTGGCTCAATAAGCCAATCCTTAACCTGCAAGCATCCCATATGGGCACCAATTTGTATCCCGGTTGCTCCCCTTCCAATTCAGCTCAATGTTTATGAACTGGGAAAGCAGCCCATATCTTTAGTGACCCATGTCCTTATGACCTTTCACCCACTGGGAGACCCGGAAGAAGTTCCTGGCTTTGGATCAGCTCAGCCCTGGCCATTGCAGCCGTTTGGGAAGTGAACCAGTGAATGAAAGATCTTTCTTTCTTTTTTATTTTTTAAAGATTTATTTATTTTTATTGGAAAGTCAGATATACAGAGAGGACGAGAGACAGGAAGATCTTCAGTCCTATGGTTCACTCCCCAAGTGGCTGCAACAGCTGGTGCTGCGCCGATCTGGAGCCAGGAGCCAGGAGCTGCTTCTGGGTCTCCTATGTGGGTTCAGGGTCCCAAAGGTTTGGGCCGTCCTCAACTACAATCCCACGCCACAAGCAGGGAGCTGGATGGGAAGCGGGGCCACCGGGATTAGAATCGGTACCTGTATGGGATCCTGGCGCATTCAAGGCAAGAACTTTAACTGCTATGCTATTGTGCTCAGCCTTCTCCCTCCCTCCCTCCTTCCTTTCTTTCCTTGCTGCCTTTCTCTGTCTTATTTATTTATTTATTTATTTATTTATTTATTTATTGCTTTGAAAGTCAGAAATATAGAGAGGGAGAATTCCATCCATTGATTCACTCCCCAAGCTGCCACAACAGCCAGAGCTGCACTGATCTGAAGCCAGGAGCCCAGAACCTTCTCTGGGTCTCCCATGCAGGTACAGGTTCCCAAGGCTTTGGGTCGTCCTCAACTGCTTTCCCAGGCCACAAGCAGGGATCTGGATGGCAGTGGGGCTGCCAGGATTAGATCCGGTGCCCATATGGGATCCTGGTGCATTCAAGGTGAGGACTTGAACTGGTAGCCTATGCACCAGGCCCACATGAAAGATCTTTCTGTCTCTACTTATCCCTGTAAATCTGCCTTTCAAATAAAAATAAGTAAATCTTTAGGGGGAAAAAAAAGAAATAGATTTATTTATTGCAGGTTAAACCTCAGCCTGGGCATCAGCATCCCATATAGGTGTCAGTTTGTGTCACAGCTGTTTCATTTCTGATCCAGCTCCTTACTAATGGCCTAGGAAATCAGCAGAAGATAGCCCAAATATTTGAACCTCCTGCCAGCCAGGTGGAAGACCTGGTTAAAGCTCCTGGCTTTGGCCTGGCCAAGCCCTGGCTCTGTTTCTCCTTCTGTGTAATTCTTTAAAACAAGCAAATAAACAGATAAAAATTAATCATTTTAAAGAAGGTTTAAATCTTCTTGTTTTAAAAGATTTATTTATTTTTATTTGAAAGGCGGAGTTACACTGCAGTACTGTCCCCAAGCTTGTAGTTTTAAGAAATAAGATTCACAGATTTGTCTCTGGACTTCGTAGTAACCAAACAAAAAAGGCAACACCATCAGCTTTGTATTGTCCACTGTGGCTGAAACAAACCAGATGGTCAGGAAAGAAATTTTGGACATCATAAAACAGTGGATCATGAAAGTGCATCCAGAAACATTTGTTTCAATAAAAAAAAAAAGAGCAGTATAGCGAATATGACAGACTCCAACACCTGTCAACCCTGAGAGATACTTGCATTGTTACTTTTGCCCCATTATACTTACTTTAAAAGAAACGTAAGAGAAATTGAGAGTGTCTTCCATTCTTTCCCCAATCTCCTTCTTCTCCCTTCTTCACTATTATGAAATAGATCACTGGTGAATTTTTCACTTGTACTGCCTTCATGTATCTATAAGCCTTTAATTTACGTAAGTAATATGCTACACATCATTCCAAAACTTGCTTTTTTCATTAGCACTATGTTTGATGTTCATTGTGCTATAGATTGAGTTAATTGATTTCCATTACTGAAATATAGTTCTTTATGACATAGAAATGATACAATTTAGTTATCTGTTTCTTCAGTAATGGATTTTTAGTTTGTTTCTAGCTTTTCCCTACTATAAATGGTGTCACATTGATTGCTCTTGTCTTCTTGGACCGTGAGCAGAATTCCTGTAGGCCAGTGAGCCTCAAAATGGGACTCCCAAGACCAGCAGCACATCATGAGCACTTTGGGCGGGGTGACTGTCGTTGGAGTACAGCGTGTAGAACTGACTGCTGCTTGCGATGTCTGCATCTCGTACCAGAATGCTGCTTTGGGTATTAGCTGCTCCATTTCCAGTCCAGCTCCCTGCTCATGCCCTGGGAAAGCAACAGAAATGGCCCAAGTGGTTGGGCCCCTGTGGGAGATTCCATCAGGTTCTTGCTTCTTGCTCTTGGCTTTAGCCTGGCCCAGCCACACCTGTTGTAGTCATTTATGAAGTAAAGCAATGGATGCAAGGTGTGTGTGTGTGTGTGTGTCTGTGTCTGCTTTCCCTTTCTGTCACTCTGACTTTCAAGTAGATACATCTTTTTTAGAAATACAAGCTCTTGGATCAATCCCAAATCTCTGAATTAGAAACTCAGAGTAGGGCCAATTAATCTGAACTGATTGTGATGCAATTTAAATTTGAGAATCACATTCTCAAATGTTGTGGCACATACACAGTTAAAATGAGAATTACTACATCTTCAGATATTGAATTGTGAACTGATGGCTAAATTCCTACCCAAAATACACTTACTAATTCATGGTCTCACCCTTGGAATATGAATTTCCATTTTCCCATACTCCTAGTTTGGTTGTTGTGAAATGTTGCTACATTTTTGTTTGCTTGTTTGTTTTTTCAAAAGCAGTGTTTTACAGAGTAGTTGACCCTTGGAGATTTCATAGGAACAGTCTGTACGTCAAAGAATTATCTCTTTGTTGTACATTGCAAGCTTTTTTCTTTCTAGTTTGTCCTTCAGCTTTGTTTGTAGTGCTTAAAAGCTATAATCAAATTTACCAGTCTTTAAAATTGGTTATGTTTAAGGGGTATGCAAAATCATATCTTAAAAGTGCATATAAATATATATATAAGCTGTATAATATGAAATGATTGCTATAATCAACCCAAGGAACATACCCGTTATCTCACATGTTACTTTTTGTGCATTTATATGGTAAGAGCACCTGAAATTTAGCCAAATTTCTAATATGCAGTACTATTTTGTTAGCTATAATCTTCAGGTTGTACACTGGATCTTTAGTGCTAATTTATACTATACACCTAGAATGCATGGTGTTGACCTGTATCTCCTTATCCTTCTCCCCTCCCAAAGTCATCAGTGATTTTTTTTTTAATCACTTTGGCAGTTAGAAAAGCCCTTAAGGCAAAATAATATTTTTGAATTGGATTTTATTTTCTGCTGGGGCACCCCATTGTGCTGTATCACACTTATTTTAAAATGATCTGAGATGTAAGAAAGATGTTAGAATCAGTAGATTTGGGAGGGCCCAGCGCCGTGGCCTGGCAGCTAAAGTCCTCACCTTGAACACGCTGGGATCCCATATGGGCGCCAGTTTTAAGCATGGCAGCTCCACTTCCCTTCCAGCTCCCTGCTTGTGGCCTGGGAAAGCAGTCGAGGATAGCCCAAAGCCTTGAGACCCTGCACCCACGTGGGAGACCTGGAAGAAGCTCCTGGCTCCTGGCTTCGGATCGGCGCAGCACCAGCTGTTGCTGTCACTTGGGGAGTGAATCATTGGATGGAAGATCTTCCTCTCTGCATATCTGATTTTACAATAAAAATGAAAAAAATCTTAAAAAAAAAATGACATTTAGGTTAGGGCTTGAATGCTAGGAAAGGAATTGAATGATTAGGATAGAATATTTCAAGGACATAAATTTTCAGTGTCTGTTCAGACAAATGGTAGGGTGGCATACTAATAGTCTGAAGTCATCTTGTGTCTTGGATCCTATTAGGTGAATCAGGAACAGTGACCTTTGTCTCCTGACTTTGGACATTTGGTTTAACCTTCAAACTGGCGATGTCAAGGGTTCCAAGTCCTCCACCTCCGGCAGAAATGTCGAGTGGCCCTGTAGCTGAGAGCTGGTGCTACACACAGGTGAGTTTGTGATTTTATCCTGTGACTATATTGCATCTTGGGAGGATTTGGTGGATGAGTGAAATTGCTTTTCTGTATTGAGCTTCTTGCATTTTCTGGAACACAACTGCCAAATTACTGATAAAGGTGTATTGTCTACCTTTCATTTCTTGGTTTTCTACATGAAATCTGGATGCTTTGGACTAGTGTTTTTCAGTGAAGGTTGGAAAGAAGGAGTCTTGGTACTAGATCTGCTTACATCCTCCTTGATGGACACTCCTGTGTGAAGTACCTCTGTTGGGGAGAACAAGTTTGGAATTTGCAATCCTGGGTGGTGCCATTAGCATCTCCATTGCAGGGGCTCATTTTAGGAATGATTATAACACAGGGTTTTCCAGCCTTGTTTTCACCTTTCTTTTTTCTGTGTTTTTGGGTGGCCCAAGGGGGTGAGGGAGATGTCCCCATTTTGCTCTTTCTGTCCGTTGTTTCTGAGAAGCTGAAAAAAAAAGATCAAATCAGTTGGTCAGTGTGAGATTTCTTAAAATGTGGATAAGGGACCTAAAGCAAGAAAAAGCTGAGACTGGTTGCTGTGCTACTGATGCTGGCTTCCTGTGGGGATCTCCACGTGGGAGGGAGGGGGAGTACTCATCTCTTCTTCAGCCCGTTTCTTCAGGTTGTCCACTTCGCATTTAATTGCCTCCTGGTTTTCTGTCAACAGATCAAGGTAGTGAAATTCTCCTACATGTGGACCATCAATAACTTTAGCTTTTGCCGGGAGGAAATGGGTGAAGTCATTAAAAGTTCAACCTTTTCATCAGGAGCCAATGATAAACTGAAATGGTGAGGAAGAATACCTCTAGCTATAAGCATTTTTCTGAAAGTTGCCTGCTTTGCTTGTTTCTGTGGGACACTGATTACAATGTGGTCAATTCCTTGAAGGCAGGGGCTTTGTTGTGTTCTCACTGTATTCCCCAGTGCTAGGAACAGGACCTGGCACATAGTAGGAGCTTACTAAATATTTGTTAAGTTAGTTCAACGGGTGTATCAGGGATCAGAAAACTTGAGCTGTAGGGAAGTGTGAATGAGTGGAGAAGGCCAGTGTCATACTTGTTATCCATAACACTGTATGCACGGTAACTTCTTGGCAAGCAGGTGAGCATCCTTCTAAACAGGGATACAGCTGCCGACTCCAGCCAACTGCGTTAGGTCTGGCTATTGCCAAATTTTTTTTAAAAGCAAGAAATCTAAATTTTAACACATTGTCTCTTAAATTCCTTACTTTTAAACAGTAAATGTAAATAACTGTACTGACAAGAGTGATGGAGGGTTTGACAGTTGTTTCATCATGTTAGTGGTTAGATTGAGGACCCCATCTGCCCCACTGTCTACACTGTCAGACATCTCAAGTGTAGCTCCCACTGTGCTTGAAGGATGACTGGCAGCCATAGTAGCAGGCATAACCCACTGTGTGCAGAGAAGTCCTTGAGCCTTCTGTGAACTGTGTGACCAAAGATGTGACATACATGTGCTGATGTGTTCATTTCTGGGTTCTATGAACTAATTCTTACAGCAAGGAGAATGCCGTCTGGGGGTGAGCGACAGTTCTGTCTAACCCATGTGCTGTCTTGAAATTAAGCAGTTAAGAATACAACCATAAGCCCTCTGTGAAGACAACAGAGGTCTGAACCACCTTTTTTGACCGCTGATAACCCACTGGAGGATTATTTTTAGTCATTCATTTAGCCTTTGTTTGGTGTGCACATTAAGCAGTGTACAATTTTGAACAAACATTTCCCTCAGAATGTTTATTTTTAGGCATTATATTTAATCCACATCTTTGGCACAGTGAATAGGAACAAATGTAGCATATGCACTTTCTAGAAAGGCGCTGGATTGGGCCACCTGTTAGAGAGTGCCATAATCCTGGCAAGGCCTAAAGGTACATATGGTCTATGTATTATATATGGGAAAAGCAGTGTATGAACCACACACAGGCCAACTAATGACATTTACAGCTTAACTTATTTGAACTTACTGAATGTTGCATGAATTTTGTTTTCATTCTTTTGTAACAGATAGGCATCTTTAATTCTATTTAGAAGTCTAGTTTGGAACACCCTGTGTAGTGGTAGTTTACTTCTGTCTGTTTCTTCCACACTGTCTTTTTTGTTTTTATTTTAGTGTATTGTTGCTACATTGGTAAATTATCTATAAAAGATTGTGTACTATTTACATATTTCTCTACAGTACTCTGTCATGGTGACATTTTTCCCACTGTTTCTTCTTAGTTCCAATAAATTAGGGACTGCCTTTCTTGAGATGGATTGGAATAGAGCAAGGATATAGTGAAGTCTAAAATACTTGAGAAGGAAAGACAGTGATTTGGGAGATTATGAGGGAGAAGGTAGAGATGTAGATGTGTTAGCAGATTCTAGAATACTCTTTGGCTTTTGTTACTCTTTTCTTTTTTTTTGAAGAAAAAGATTTATTTTTATTTAAAATGCAGCTTTAAAGAGAGGAGAAATAGAGTAAGATCTTTCAGCTGCTGGTTTATTCCCCACAAGGCTGTAACAGTCAGCCGAGCCAATCTGAAGCCAATCTGAAGCCAATCTGAAGCCAATCTGAAGCCATGTAAAGCAAAGAACTGGATTGAAAGTGGAGTAGTTGGGCATGAACCTGTGCTCCAGGAGGATTAGCTTGTTGAGCCACTGCATTGGCCCTTGTTACATTTTAGAAGGTAACCCAGGTTGCTCTAGAGAAGTAATTCCCACATAATCCACTGAACCTTCATCTCTTTGTAAGTTGGCCTGTGTTCTTTTAAAGACATCTTTTCTTGATTCTGATGTCCCATTTCCGTTCTCTCGTTTTATAAGCCTGTAAATGTGGATGCTTTTGACACCTTTTCCCCTCTATCTGTCTTGGGCAGGTGTTTGCGAGTCAACCCAAAAGGGCTAGATGAAGAAAGCAAAGATTACCTATCACTTTACCTTTTACTGGTCAGCTGTCCAAAGAGTGAAGTTCGGGCAAAATTCAAGTTCTCCATCCTGAATGCCAAGGGAGAAGAAACCAAAGCTATGGGTAAATGTTCTGCTCTTTAAAAAAATTATGTGTGTGTATGTATGTATTCATTTTATTTGAAAAACACAGAGAGAGAAAAAGAAAAAGTTCAGCCCTCAGGTATGCACATTTAGGTGGGGTTGAGCCAGACAAGAGCAGGAAGCTGGAACTCAGTCTGGGTTTCCTGTGAGGGTGGCTGGGACTCCTTTCCAGAGTGCATGTTAACAGGGAGTTGATGGGAGGTACAGGTGGGCATCAAGCCCAGGCACTGTGGAATGGGACGTGGGGTCCCCAGTGATATTTTACCTGCCACTCCAAATTCCTGCCTCTGTCCTCTTTGTTCAACTCTCATATGTCCAGCAACTTCATATACTGACAAGTTGTGGGTTTGGTCTAGTTTCTGAATAACTCTAAATACTGCCTTTTTTTTCCCAACTACCCAGAGAGTCAACGAGCATATAGGTTTGTACAAGGCAAAGACTGGGGTTTCAAAAAATTCATCCGCAGAGATTTCCTTCTTGATGAAGCCAATGGGCTCCTTCCTGACGACAAGCTTACCCTCTTCTGTGAGGTGAGTCCCTTTACCCCACTATGGAAGGAGCCACTCCCGGGTGCCATGACCTCATGGTACTGCTCTGGCGGTCTGCAGTGAGAACAGTACCCAGGTGGGGGGTGCTACACAAATGTTAGTTGTGTGATTGACTGAACTGCCTCATATTTTGAAGCGTTCAAAGTTGTTAACCATCTCAGCTTTTTACTCTCATTACTGTTTTGAACTCAAGAGGTTGCATGCTGTCTTGGGCTATTTCAGTCTTGCACCACTCAGGTTTTTCACATGGTGTTTGGAAGGACTGTCACTTTAGAGTGAAAAGAATGGTGAACACGTGTTGGCTATCCCTTAACTCTGCTGCCTCCTCCTGGAGTGTGAAATCCATGTGCTTTTAACCGTGGGTCACATGCCTTCTCTGGAGTTGAGGCCTATGGTTTGTCTGGCTGAAGTCATTGTGCAGTTGGAAGGAGAAAACCCTTTGCTCCAGGGTGGAGGCTGTGTAAAACCCTCATCTTCGTAGTCAGCCAGGAGAGTCCTCTCCAGTATACAGGGGAAGCCTTGAAGTAGAGAGTGGTTTGTTGAACACATGTTAGTATCATCAGCACTTTTGCAAATACTCAGAGACTCAGTGTAATAAACGAACGAAACCTCCAGTCAGCAGGGCGTGGTATGCCTGTCCATTGAGAGGTCAGGGATGAAGTCCTGGAGCAGCACCACTTGATGAGAAAGCCTCCTGTGTCTTCATGAAGGTGGTGCAGGCAAGCGCCACGGCTGCCGGCATTATCCAGGTGAAACTCACACAATAAGTTACTGATGAGCCCAGAGGCATCTCACCACATGTACAGCCGGAAAAGGCATCCCGTAGGACTCGTGCCCTTTTGTGAAAGTGGCCTGACCAGCAGCAGAAGCTTCTGTGTTTGAACAGAATCATTGCTAATGATTAGAAAACTTTGGAGGCATAGTTTGTTAAAAGACCACACTGAATACATAAAATGTGATTTGCATAATAACTATTCCCTTTCATTTTAATTGCAAAGTGAAAAAGTCTTACTACAGTGATAGCATCTATGTAAATACATAAACTGTGGCAGTTGTTTTTATGTCTGATGAGCTTGAAATTTGACTTCCATATAAATCCTCATCATAGATCATAATCGGTTGCCTGAGTAAAGAAATGAGAACAATTAGGTGATTTGAAGTGAGGTTACTTGTTATATAAATAGGTGAGCAGTTTTAATCTTCACCTGTCTTGAAGACTAGTATTCCAAGAGAAACTTAAAAATAGTGAAAAATTCTAATCTATGTTGGAAATGAAAGTCAGTCTTCAAATAATTTTCAGAAGAAAATCTCTTGTAAATGTTACACCTGCTGTTTTAAGCAGTGCCATAATCTTGGTTGCAAAAGTCCACAGTGGGCCCAGCCTTTTCCTTTTCCTACAAGCTTCACTCCCTACTCCTCCCCTCAGTCCATCTCAGCTAGGCCAACCCCTATTGCTGTTCCTGATATGGAAACCCAGTTGGCCTGCCCTTGCTTGGCAATGCCTTTTCCTATGGTTAAATTTGAGGCTGGGTTCCAGCTCCTTCTCTCCCCTCACTTTCCCATATGAAATTCTCTAAGGAGAAATCCTGTGGTTAAGTTTAGATTTGCCTTACTGACTTAGAAGGGAAGTGAGATGACACTTTGGGAACAAGGAGATGTTGAACAGGGAAACGTCTGCTGGGTTCTGCTGATGCCATCGGTTTCTCACCATCGAACCAGGTGTGCCATCTGTTCTCTCACACTTCTGTGTTGGCTACAGGTGCTGAGTGTTGCTTCTCAGACTTGGGCTTGTGCCTAGCGAGACTTGTTTCTGTTCCAGCACTCTCTGTGGACTTAGAAGCATTCAGCATTGCAAGACAGTTGCGTGGGGGTGTGCACTGGATGTGTGGGCTTTAAAAATGTCTACAGCTCCTCCGAGTTCTTATCACTTTCTGTAGCTAGATCGTTTTTTTGCACAGGTTCTATGTATGGCCTTGCCCTCTTCCCTTTATTTCAGTAGGATAGGTATAAGCCTGTTTAATTCAGATTTATATTTTATTTGTTAGTGGTTTAGTTAATATTATTACTTAGAGATTTTTAATGAAGTTGGTGTACACATAGAAATCGCGACTATGCATACCCCCTGTATTCTGTTCCTCTATCAGCCTTTGGCAGGACACTTCCGGGTCATCCTGATCGAAGAATACAGTGGTTTCAGGGATTTAGGAGCTCCCAGAGGTCACAGGAAGGAATCCTGAGGTGAAAGGTTGATATTCGCACATTTGTGTGTTGGCTTTTATTTCCGTGATATTACTGTCACTGAGTTTAGATCACAAACTCTGAAAATGCCGAGTGGGTGAGATTGTTTACAGTGTGCCACGCTAGGCTCACTTTATCTCAATGTTGTTTTTGTCTGCCTGTTAGGAAATGTGGCAGTTCTTCCAAGCTGATACTGCCTAGTTGACTTATTTGGAAGGATTTCCAAAGCATTTCCAGAGTTGTCCCTTCTCACAGCCCATTGAGCTGGGTTAGTTCTGTTTCCTTTGTTCCTTGTTACAGAGGAGAGAAGCACTGCCTTGGGAGGTCAGGTAATTTTCCCTAACCTTGTGCAGCAAATTAGTGTCAGGGCTGTGTCAGCTCTCCATCTCCCATCTCTGGTCTGCTGCAGTGCACTTAGTGGAACCAAATGCTAACCACCCAAAGAATCACAGGCTTGCCCCCAAGTATTTTCTAACACAGTGTTTACTTGGGTAAATGAAACATGTTTAAATTACACTTTTAATTTTCTCTTTAACAATTTGGGCCTGGGCCCAGCGCTGTGGCCTAGCGGCTAAAATCCTCACCTTGAATTCACCGGGATCCCATATGGGCACCAGTTTTAAGCATGGCAGCTCTACACCCCATCCAGCTTCCTGCTTGTGGCCTGGGAAAGCAGTTGAGGACAGCCCAAAGTCTTGAGTCCCTGCACCCATGTGGGAGACCTGGAAGAAGCTCCTGGCTTCGGATCAGCGCAGCACCGGCCGTTGCGGTCACTTGGGGAATGAATCATTGGATGGAAGATCTTCCTCTCTGTCTCTCCTCCTCTCTGTCTGACTTTGTGATAAAAATAAAATCAATCTTAAAAAGAAAAACAAAAAACAATTTGGGCCTTAGCAAGGTTTCATGATACATTGCAGTTCCAATTGGCTCTTTTTTTTTTTTTCCAATATTAAAAACTAGTACTTGTTAGTGATAAAGATGCATATGTTGTACCTTGGTTGTGTAATAATGCTTTTGACAGGTAGAAGATTCCAGTGCCTTATTGTGATACTGCAGTTAAAGTGTGTTCTCAATCCTTTCTCTCTAGTTCTACCTTTCAAATTAATTAAATCTTTCTTTAGTGGAGCCAGTATTGTAGCATAATGGGTTAAGCCTTTTCCTGCAACGCTGACTGTTCCATAGAGTGCAGTTCGAGTCAGCTGCTCCACTTCTGATCTGCTAAGACACTTAGGATAGCAGCAGAAGATGGCTCAAATGTTTCACCCCTAAACCCATGTGGGAGACCCAGAGGACGCTCCTGGCTCCTGGCTTTGACCTGGCCCAGCCCAGGCCATTGAGATCATGTGGGATGTGAACCAGTGGGTGGACAATTAACTGTCTCAGTGTGGGGAGTGAACCAGTGAATGGAAGATAATTCTGTCTCCTCCCCTCCCCTTTCTTCCCCTCTCCTCTTCCTCTCCTTTTCCTCTCTCTCTCTCTCTCTCTCTCTCTCTCTCTCTCTCTTTTCTCTCTGTAACTCTGCCTTTAAAATAAATAAATTTTTAAAGGTGAAATATGAACTATCTGGATACTAGTTAGCTCTTAAAACATCCTTTTCCTTCTCAAATGTAAAATATCCTTTTATGGCATAAGAATACTGTTTTTGCCAAATTTGAGGTAAGTTTTTCTTCTTATTAATAAGTTATTTGAATATTAGCTGGCACTTAATGGAAAATATTTATTCTTAACCCACAAAAGCCACTAATTTCATTAATGTGTCCTGTCATTGTAGTTCATCAGATGTGACGATGCAGTGAACCTAGCTCAGCCTCAGAACATCACTGATAACTTGGCACTAATCTAAATCTGCTTCTTCCCGTCCTGCAAACTTGGTCTCCCCACTCACAGGATGGCATACAACTGTTTTGAGTTTAATGTTATTCCCTGGTTTATAATTTATATGCCTGAATAATGCATTATTTAGGTTTCCTTGTTTGAGAGCTTTAGAGATGGCATCAGGCTCTATATAGTTATCCAAACCTCGGCATGTTGACTGTGTTTCCACATCGTGGCTGAACCTGTAGCCCAGTGTTTGTGGTGCAGTGAGTCGTCTGCTTCGTGCAGATGCAGTACATCTATTGTCTTGTTGACATATATTCGGGCTGTTGTTAGTCCTTTTCTATTAGAAGTAACGTTGCAGCTACAATTTGTGTGTCGTGTCTGTGGGTTTTTCTCCTTGACTTTTAATTTTAGAAAGTTTAAAAAATGTGTTTCTCTGGGTTTTATTTTGACTGTGTGTGTAGATGGAAATGTAGAAGAATTGGCACAATTTTTAGTCTTCCATGAAATTTTATTTTTGAAGAAGAAGCATTGATGTTAAAAGTGAGCCCCTTTTACAACTTTAAGTACAGGGGATTATACAGTGTTCCTGAGACATTTTCATGCAGTCATTTATAAGACGACATAAATGTCAGCAACGCATCATCTTCACAGCTGCAATTCTCAATGAATCTCCACAGTCAACTTTATAGGCATTTTAAAAAAATCTTTAGTTTTCCTCAAAATGGTCTCGTTGTAGCATCATCATTTACAGAGGAAAACAATCCCTTTCTAAGTTAAAAGTTTGGGCTCTGAAGACTCATTTGTGAATGCCATTTAGAATTTATTTTTAATTAAGCATATTTAATGTCGGTGAGAGGTGCCAGACACTCAGTGCTCTGGAGGCTGCAGACATCTGTATATCTACAGAACAAGACTGGCTCAGCCGGGAAAGGTGCATTCTCCTCCCTGCTGGGCTCCTGTCTGCGTCCAGAGAGAAGAATTGCTCCAGGGAGAGGTGGCCCAGTCTTTGGGCCCCACTCATTACTGAGCATGATCCAGCCACCACAGGTCTGCTGGTATCCAGTTTATGTGGAATTCAGTGTAGTGTTTGCCAATTCATTTTACTCAGGCTACTAAATTGCCATTTAGTGCTAATGACTTTGGGCTCCTGTCAACCTGTTTTAATTCAAGCTAGGAGTCCAGTGCCAAAAGCATTTTCCATTCCCTTCATTGGCCATCCCAGGAGATTCCTGCATTTCCTTATGAGGAAGCTGGGTTTAAATTAGTATTTTAGAACCATAAGTACAAACAAGTAGCCTCCATGTTTGGTGATGAGCCTATCAAGGAAGTGAGGGTATTAATATGAGAAAGTGACAGGACCAATTTGGAGATCTTCTAGAGGACAGGAGAGAATCTCTGTGGGGTAGTTTGTGCTAGGTCCTGGACTGTTAAAATAATGTTACAGTCTGGCTCTGATAAATGTGCCTCTAATGGTAAACACATTCATAATTGATTAACTTGGCTGCTTTACTGCACAAGAACGTAGCAGCTGGTTTTAAACAAATGAATACATTTCTTGACCTGATGGTAAATCTCTTGCTCCTGCACAGAGATGTTACAGGTCTCTTGGAGGGGGCATTGCTTTGCCTCTGGGTTTATGGCTGCTGTAAAGGCAGGACTTGCATCTTGAAGGTTAAAGCTGGGTCATGAAGGATTTTTTGTTTGTTTGTTTGTTTGTTTAAGATTTATTGATTTTTATTGGAAAGGCAGATATACAGAGAGGAGGAAAGACAGAAAGATCTTCCATCTCATGGTTCATTCCCCAAGTGTCCACAACGGCTGGAACTGAGCCAGTCTGAAGCCAGGAGCCTCTTCAGGTCTCCCACACAAGTGCAGGGTCCCAATGCTTTGGGATGTCCTCAACTGCTTTCCTAGGCCACAAGCAGGGGGACTGGATGGGAAGTGGAGCTCCTGGGCTTAGAACCGGCACATTCAAGGTGAGGACTTTAACTGCTACACTATCGTGCCAGGCTCATTAAGGATGTTTCTAAGCCACCTTTCTCATCTGATTCTTCAGGGAAGTCGGGAGCTGATTCTCATGGTTTGTGAGCTCTGCCTTGATTGTCACTTTCTAATTTGTTATAACAGGGTATGGAGTAGTGGTAGTTGAATAGATAACTGACCTGTAGGGTTATAAGCTTAATTTGGCAACTGATGTTTATTTTATGATGTTGTGTGTAGCATGTTATGTTGTGTTACTCTTTGTACCCCAGCAGGTTAAGGTGAGTTTCTTTGATCCATCTAGAAGTTAGCTTGGCTTCTGTCTAGGCTCAATAGTTCTATAGGTTAAAGCATGCTGTTGCTGAATCCGTAGTGGAGAGTTGAATCTCCCTAAACCTGCTGTGGTCGCTCTGTAAGTGCGTATCTGGCTGCAGCCCTCCATCTCATATGTCACTGTCACTAATGATGAAATAAGGGTGTAAGGGTGGCATGTTAGCCATTCCATTATTGCTTCCAAAAAAATGGCCCAAGTCCTGTCATATTCATTAAACAGACATGTTTGAGGAAGTACAGTTTTTAAGATGCTCATTTATCTGCAGGGCAGAGTGAACCATTCACTGGTTCACTTTCCAGATGTTCACAACAGCTGGGCCTGGGCCAGACTGAAATCACGAGTGGAGACCTCCCATCATTATCTCCCATATGAGTTACAGGAACCCAAGAACTTGGGCCATTATCTGCTTTCTCCCAGGCACATTAGCAAGAGACTGGATCAAAAATTGAAGTGGGACTCCATCCTAGGCTCTCAGGAATGGGGTACTGGTGACTTAACATGCTGTACCACAACACACACCCCAGAGTGCCATTATTGACAACAGACCATAAAAGTTGCCCTTTCACTGTGTGTTCCAGACCTAACTATAAGTAAATTACATGCTTTTAAACATAAATGATTAGCTTCGTTTCTCTAGAGTTGAATGTAAATGGCAGTATCTGCAGGAATTCTTTGTATTTAACCTTTGGCTTAAGGCACAATATAATGTAAATTCTAAGGTTTAGCATATGCTGTTGTCAGCTCCATGACCTTTTCCACAGGTTTGTAGTGCAGGAGAGGCTGAGCTTTTATCTGGAAGTGGAGAAGGAAACTTATGGGTCTCTCTCCTTGTAGGGTTAAGTGTGATTGAGCTAGGGAAGTTACCTTGGTTTGTGCAGGTAGTTTCAAGAGGGTGGCTGGTGACTGCCAATGCTATCTAATTGTTCTGTAGCAGTTGGGTTACAAGTCACTCTGCACCTGTCCGGAGGACATCTCCAGTGACCACAGGTTTGGTTTATTTGTCTTTCACAGGTGAGTGTCGTACAGGACTCTGTCAACATTTCTGGCCAGAACACCATGAATATGGTAAAGGTTCCTGAGTGCCGACTGGCAGATGAGTTAGGAGGACTGTGGGAGAATTCCCGATTCACAGATTGCTGCTTGTGTGTGGCTGGCCAGGAATTCCAGGCTCACAAAGCTATCTTAGCAGGTTGGTATTTGTTCATAGGGAGCTTTATAACTTCGGTGGAAAAGGGAAAAACAATGACTATGTAACTGCCTTTTCAATAATTTAAACTTTTAGAACTTAGCTGCAATAAAGACCACAAGTAAATATATTTTTACATTATGACATTAGTTCCTGTCACCCAGAAGTCTGCTCTCCATGAAAATTATCTTCTCCTTCGAAGCCTGAGAAATGGATGATGCTTGAGGTACTAGGTTAAGTCCCCCTTGCACTGGAGCGCAGACTTCAGAACACTGGTCAGGGCGGTATACTTCTTCCCATGACCTTCAACTCCATCATTGTGGAGTGCACACCTTGCAGAACTTCTGTCTCACCCTCTTACTCTTCCCCCGCAGGAATGTCATTAACTCCAAGGGTAGGGCCTGTTAGTGAGACCCTCACTCCTGCCTGGACAGCCTTCTGTGACTTTGGAGTCAGCTCCCTTTCTTTGTCTTACCAGTACTTCAGAACTTAATCACTCTCCTTTAACCTCTTTCAGCTCCTAAGAGACCTCACCTGCTTCTTCCAAGGAAAAACCCAAGCCCTGTGAGAGGAATGTCCTCTCTCGCCTCCCCATCCCCTGCCCTCATAGAAGAGGTGTTCTTTCGTGTGCACAGAGCTGACTTTGGCTGCTTGCTGTCCCATCCTGCCTGCTCTACCCGTCTCACCTTTGTTGCCTGCTGTCTTTGTCATCTCTTGCTGCCTGTCCCCCATGCACCTGCCAGCAGGTCAATCAATCAGTCTCTCTCCCCATAGAGTCAAGCTTTTCCAGTTGGAGCATTCACCCTCCAGTTCTTTCCGCCCACTATCCTTCGCTCACTTCCATGCTGTGAAAGCAGTTTTCCAAAGTTCTGTCACCTGCTAGTTCCTAAATTTGAAGGAGTCTGCAACTCCTGTTTTATTTGACTCCTCTCTCTCCTGTTTCTCTAGCTGCTTTTGCTGAGGGCCTTCCTCCCTTGTCTTCATCCAGTCCTCCTGACACTGGCGAGCCCTACGGGACTCCTTCAGCTCTGTGTTTACACTGCCCTTTCTCCCTGGGTGATGGTTCCGTGCCAGGTGTCAGCTGCTGGCCACCATACAGCCCAGCTGCTGCTGTGGACCTCACTTGCTTAAGAGGAGCAGTTCAGGGCTCAACATGTGGAATAGATTCCTTTAGTGCTCTCCAGACTCTTAACTCTTCTGAGATAAGGACAGTGAGATTTTATATCCATTTGGGATAGATTAAAATAACAAGGTTCTGAGATTTAAGTGATTTTCCCAAGATTGTGCAGTTAAAAAAAAAAAAGAGCTAAAAAGTTCTTTCTTGACAATAAACTGTAGGTCAAAAATCTCAGTCCCTGCTCCAAATTCTCCCACATATTCTGTCTGTTCTTCCACTCTTAGGTAGTGGTGGAAAGTCTCAACTTTGACCAAACTTCTAACTCTTCCAATAACATGAAAATTTTTGCCATTTTATTATTTTACATGGTTGAAATTATGTTCACTCATTTTTCCGTGTTGTTTGCCAGCTGAGAATGGGCATGGGTTGCAGCACTGTTTCTCAGCCTTTTTTCCCCTCCCTATCATCCTCACCCCCTTTGAAGAAAACTAGATTTGAATTCTCCCTAATGAGGGAAATGGAATACCAAGGAAGTTGGTTTTATCAGGTAGTTTAACGAGGCCACCAATCATTGTAATATCCAAGAGTGTCCCTTTGGTTGTTGATACCAACTCTGTTAAGAACCCCAAGCTTGGAAAAGAGGACCAACTTCCTTCAATAAGGGTGCGTATCTGCTTAGCTGGTGCCTTCCAGCCCAGTTTTTTACCTTCCTGCTGTGTGGTCCCTGGAGAAAGTGATACTGTTCTTGGGCCCAGCGCCATGGCTTAACAGCTAATGTCCTTGTCTTGAACACACCAGGATCCCATATGGGCACCAGTTCTAGTCCCAGCAGCTCCACTTCCCATCCAGCTCCCTGCTTGTGGCCTGGGAAAGCAGTTGAGAACGGCCCAAAGTCTTGGGACCCTGCACCCACGTGGGATACCCAGAAGAGGATCTAGGCTCCTGGCTTTGGACCATCGCAACTGTGGCCATTGCAGTCACTTAGCGAGTGAATTATCAAACAAAAGATATTTCTCTCTGTCTCTCCTCTATATATCTGACTTTGCAAGAAAAATAAATCTTTAAAAAAAAAAAAAGAACACCTTTATTAGCCATGAGGACCCTCAATGCTCAGATCTACATAGTACCAAAACACTGTCACCAGTGTGGATAACTTGCAACATGAGTGGCAGGAGTGGAATTCAGAAATTATTTTGAAAGTAATGTTTTTTCTTTTTCATTATGTATTATAATCATTTACTCATTGATATACTAAATGAATAAAGGAATTTTGTAATTATCAGTTGAGGTCTAGATCCTTTCCCATAGCACTGGACAGGCCAGAACATGATTTTTCCCCCTGAACTGGAATGGTGATCCCAAAGATTGCACTGTATTAACTTTGCCTGATGGTCTCTTTTTCACTTTGTAGCTCGTTCACCGGTTTTTAGTGCCATGTTTGAACATGAAATGGAGGAGAGCAAAAAGGTACGTGACTGGGTGGAGTCGTGCCCTTTTCTTTAAGCCAAGTGATTAGATTGCCATGACTTCTCAATTGAGTGACAGATTTATTTTCTTGAAGTTGAAGTTGAGCACAGTTTGCCAGCAGACCCTTCCTGAGGGCAGAGAGATGGTATGGACATGCCCTAAGGGTGCACACCTGCGTCCTGGACATTGGGCGAGTTCTTTTAGTCAGAAAAGGCAGGTAAAAAAAGGTGAAAACTCAAAGATCAGGTTGTTTTATTCATGTATTTGAATAAGCAAAGATGGTGCATGAGATGAAAGGCAGGGCTGTGATAATCAAATAGGGCAAAAGGAAACTTCCTGTTTATGATAAGGCCAGTACACTGGCGTAACAGGCTAATCCTGCGCTTTCGTACTGGCATCCCATATGGGCACCAGTTCATGTCCCAGCTGCTCCACTTCCCATCCAGCTCCCTGCTGCCATGTGGGAGTCCCAGAAAGAAGCTCCAGGCTTTTGGCTTCAAAACAGCTCAACCTCAGCTGTTGCCAATCATTTGGAATATCACTGTGCTCTCTCTAAATGCCTGTCAAATAAAAATAAATAAATCTTTTTAAAAAATATTAGGCCTTACGGGCCCGGCGTGGTGGCACAAGTGGTTAAGTCCTCGTCTTGCACGCCCGGGATCCCATATGGGCGCCGGTTCTAATCCCGGCAGCCCCGCTTCCCTTCCAGCTCCCTGCCTGTGGCCTGGGAAAGCAGTCGAGGACGGTCCAAAGCTTTGGGACCCTGCACCCGCGTGGGAGACCCGGAAGAGGCTCCTGGCTTCGGATTGGCATAGTATCGGCCGTTGCGGCTCACTTGGGGAGTGAATCATCGGACGGAAGATCTTCCTCTCTGTCTCTCCTCTCTGTATATCCGCCTTTCCAATAAAAAATAATAAAAATAAATCTTTAAAAAAAAAAAAATTAGGCCTTTCTCCTCAATCAACGCTTACAATCAGGACAATAGTTTGGGAACTCGATTCTTGATGGAATGTTATTCATTTTCTTTCTTTCCTTCTTTCTTTTTTTTTTTTTCTTAGAATCGAGTTGAAATCAATGATGTGGAGCCTGAAGTTTTTAAGGAAATGATGTGCTTCATATACACAGGGAAGGCGCCGAACCTTGACAAAATGGCCGATGATCTGCTGGCAGCTGCTGATAAGGTGAGGCAAAATGAGGAAACTTGTTACAGGACTAGAAGCTGTTGTCACTTTGAGGGGCTCACGTCTATTCCCATCAGCCAGTGCTAGCTACATGTGTGGTCACAGCACAGTTATTAATAGCACCCGTTTTATTCTTACCTGTGAGTAATAACTGGTCATTCTAACCGTGGAAAAGTAGGATGTGTTTTCCTCTCTTTCCTCATCTCAGATTTAATAATAGTAAATATCTAATAATAAAGGAACATGTGGGTTGCAGTTTATGATACGTAAGGTGTTTTGAGTTCATCAGCTTATTTAAACTTTGTTACTAAGAGAGTCATCTCTTCCCTAGTGTTAGCGTTTTCAACTTTTACCTAAGCAGTTACTAAAATACAGATTGCTGTCTAAGGGGAAGGAAAGATACTATATAATAAGATACATTTCAATTTAAGAAATTTTTAACTGTGAAATTAAAAATGTGGATCTTAGAATCAAGGAAATAAGTGGTTACCTGAAGTAACAGGTGGATAATTCCCCAAATGCAGGGAAATGGCATCAACTAAATAGGTTGATTGGCACAGTGGCTCTAGGGTCTGGTCTCACAGAGTTGGATACTGGCATTTTAGCTTAGTCTTCCTCAGAACCTGTTCACGTCACTGCCTGCTGAGAGTTTTCCAGAAGGAAATGTGGTAGTGTTTCAGTTAACCTGGAATCCTTTCTTTCCAGAATAACCTCCAGTATTCATTGTACTAAAACACAAGTGGGGAAGCCAACTTGCAGGGCTCTGTCAGAGCCTCTGTGCCCACAGGTGGCTGGAAGGCTTGGTCCTGGTCCCACAGAGCACAAGGATGTTAAAGGGGCACAAACCCCACTTACAGAAGCCCCAGGGAGAGCAGCCTCTCTGCTGGAAGTGGCCCTGCCACAGGCCCTGGCACTGTCACACCCATTCAAGTGGGGAGAGTGGCCCCCGCAGGCACTGAAGCCTTCCCTGAGATTGCCCCTGGGGATTGTCTTCTCTGCTTGCCTTTGCACCTGAGAACAGAAGAGAGTGCCTGTGTTTACAGCAGAGCTTTTATCTTTATCGATCAGCTGTTTGGAGTGTTTGTAAAGGGTAGGGCAGGTAAACCCCATCAGAGCTGGGGATAAAGAATATAGGGATAATAACCCAGGCTGGAGGAGGAAGAGTAGAGTTAAGCAACGGGCAGTTCCATACCCTTCCTGTGTACCTCGGTCAAAGCAGAGCAGGCTTGGCTTTCCATGGAGACAGTAGGAAAGCATTCAGTGCCTGCTCTGGGAAAGTAGAAGTAACAGCACAGTACCTGTTTTTTGGTAAGGTTTGCATGTTAGTGCCTGACCTGCGCTCTGATTTTCAAATTTTCAAAGAAGCAGTCACTCACACACATCCGGTATTTATTCCCTCGTATTCAAGATCTCACACGGATAAGTGCAAAGTTCACTAAGCCAAGGCTTAGAGCAGTATGTCCTCTTGAGTGCACAGGCCTCAATTGCTATTCCTTGGATAGCATTTTCAGCACTCTGTATTAGCTTTTTTGATGACAGAGCAGGCAAATCACAGCAGAGCTTCGATTTTATGAATGAGAAGTAATGAGGGTGTATTTCCAAATTCCATTCAGAATGTCCCGTATTAGACAGCTGCTTCTCCAACCCTATTAAAAACCTTTGGATCTCCTTGTGAGTTTTGGGACAGCAGAGTATGAAATCTTTCATGGAAGGATCTAAACATCTAGAATTCACCCAGGAGACTAAAACAGCTTATTGTGAGCTTTTTCCAGTCTCTTGGGGACATATGTAATTAGACCAAAAACAAAACAAAACTTGTGGACCAGGCCTGGGAGAGACAGTTTCAATCTCTCGGGTAAGTACTGCCATTAGGCAGGTTTTTCAGAAGTATAATTAAGAAAAAAAAAACTTTGCTTCTCAGGGGACAAGCTTGGCTACTTCTGTCTAATTATGTGGTGGGGCTCTGAGCTGTTCCCAGGAAGGCCCTTTGGAAAGATTGTGTCAGGAGGACAGGAGGAACATCCTGTGTGGCCCTGTGGACACTGCCATCCACGTGGCCTTTTCGTGCCTCAGCACAGGATATGGCGACCTCGTCTTTTGCTCCTCTTTTGTCATTCCTGTTGTCCAGGGAAAGTTTGCCAGTTAACTCAGATATAAAAAATTAAAGCTGCACCAAAACCAATAAAACTTTTGCTGCAGGAGATTACAGTGCCAGCAGATACGCCTCCTCGCCCAGAATTCATTACAGTAAAATGGTGCTGGTTTGATTGCCAGGACTCAGCCTGGAGGGACATTTTGTCATTGAGTTCGGGGCCCTCAAGAATGGGGCCTTGGAAGGAGACCTCAGTGCAAGTCATGCTTTTGGGAACTGATGAATGACTTTGTGTTGTGCCTCTTTTTTCCCCTTCTTTCTTAACCCTGAAGTGCTTATTAAGTTTATAATCTCATATGAGAGAACCAGTAATAGAACCCAGTCAGCTAGGTTGGATGAACCCAAGCTTTAACCTAGACCTTCCATTTCCAGAACATTTACACCCTGACTTGGAGAGTAGAAGATTTTAAACAAAGACTGAATCTGGGGTCTCTGTTGCTTTCTTCTTTCACCCTGAGAATCTTGACCCCAGCCCCAAGAAGATAGGCAGGGCTCCATTTACCCATTTCTAATGCAAAGGAGGCCTCTGGCTGCCCATATCCAGGGACTGCTAGAGACAGAGACGCTGGTGAAAGGCACCCCAGGACTCCTTCTCACAGACACAGGGATATCCTGCTGGACTGGTGACAGTGCCAAGTAAGAGGGACAGGGCTTTCCTTGGCTGGCTCTCAGTAAAAGGTGTGCAGAACTCTTCAGTGTTAATGCCTGTGTTGGCTTGAGGTGACACCTCACTCCCTATAAAGCGGATCCTGACAGTTTGAGAGTTCAAATTTGGGATGTTGAGTAAGCCATCGGCTGGGGGTCCGCTCTGTGGCTCCCACATTGCTGGACTGTAGGCTTCAGAACCTAAATCCGTACTACTTTAGTTGTCTCCCGTCTCGGCTCACCCACCTCACCTTCACAGCAGGCCGTGTGGTCCAGCCCTGGTAGTGGCTCTGTGCTGGTCTCCAGGTCAGCGTGGGCACTGCTCGGGCAAACAGCTCCGGTAGCAGTCACCCCCAAGCAGAGCATGGCTGTTCTGACGACAGCCCTGCTTGTGTTTTCCAGTATGCCCTGGAGCGTTTAAAGGTTATGTGTGAAGATGCCCTCTGCAGCAACCTGTCCGTGGAGAATGCCGCTGAAATTCTCATCCTGGCTGACCTCCACAGCGCAGATCAGTTGAAAACTCAGGCCGTGGATTTCATCAACTAGTGAGTTGGCATCTTCAAAGTTTTCTTTCATAATAATTGGGATAGCCAAAGAAATGAGCAAGACTTTGAATTAGTGAGTGAAACTGGCAAGGAGTTTCATTAACCTTTGGTGATATAGAGTTGTCATCTTTCCCTTCAGCTTGATGGCATGGAAAGTGGTTTTGCTTTCATGCATCGAATCCTGTGGACAAGTGGTGTAGATGAATCAAAAAACTGGCTGCGAAGGCTCTGTGTCCTAAATGATAACAGCTCTGTCTCCCACTCAGTGACTTAACAGGAGACAGACAAGTCTAGGAAGACAGCAGTGTGTTCCTCAGGAGTTAGTTCAGGGTCTTGCTGGTCAGTGGTGGACAGAGGAAAGAGAGGGAGTCAATAGCAGGGACTGTCAGACACTGTGTCAAGAAAGAGACATTCATCCCCTGGGTCTCTTCCTTCCACCCAAGTGGTCAGTGATGGGTATGTCACTTGTGAAATCATTTACAGGGGCCAAGATGAGCTATGACATAGAACCCATGTCTCAGTGGGCCTGTTCTGCTCCCTTGGAGCAGAAGTTGGGAAAATTCAAAGGAAGAAAAATAGGCTTTATGTAGGTCTTCCAATGTAGTTTGGCAATAAGACAGGCAGGATATGTGCCAGATGATTGAAGGAACCACAGTCTGCAGAGGACATGGCCGAAGACAGGATATAGTATCCCCTGGGTCCGCTGGGCCCCGAGGTTTGGTGGTAAGATTGCTTCTTAGCATCAGAAGCAGTGAGGAGAGCAGTAAGTGCTCTGTGTGGACCCGTGCTTGTTGGGCAGTAACTTAGCCTTTGCCTGTCCACTGGTTGATCTCCCTGCAGTTACCAGATGAGCACAGAACCAGGTGCCGGTGCAGAGGTGCCTGTTCTCTGTCACTGTGCATGTGCCAGGGCAAGAAGAGCACATGGACAGTGCTGAGAGCAGCCTGGGGAACTTGGCCCTCCCAGAGTGCAGTGGCTTGAAGACCTGGCCGCTAGCACGCACCTGGGCTAATGAGCACGTGCTCCTGAAGATGACATGTTCTGAGCGTGCCCGACACAGACACCCTGGCACCAAACACCAGGGAGGCGGCTGCTGGGGCTGATGAGTGTGTCCCCTTCCCACTGCCTGTTGTAACCCATGTTTCTCTGTTTCCCCAGTCATGCTTCCGATGTCTTGGAGACATCCGGGTGGAAGTCCATGGTGGTGTCACATCCCCATTTGGTGGCTGAGGCGTACCGCTCCCTGGCATCAGCACAGTGCCCGTTCCTGGGCCCCCCACGCAAGCGTCTGAAGCAGTCCTAAGGCACCGGTTGGAAGACTCCGTTCATTTCCCAGAAGCAGCAGCCCGGTTGCTGCCACTGACCACCAGTAGACAGCGCAGTCTGTGGAGCTTGTACTCTGTTGGGGGAAAGACCGCGTCGCGGCCCCAGACTTTGAAACAGCACTAAATAACTTGGGGAAACGGGGGGAGGGGAGGGCCCACGACTCGGGGCTGTTCGACCTAATGAAAACCCTGTTGCTGCGTCACTGTGTTCCCTTTGGCCCGGCTGAGTTGGACACTGGGGACCGAGTTTAGGCACTGGCTCTGAGGATGTCCTAGTGGTGGTTCCTCAGAGAAACCAACCTGCATCTGACCGAGCAGAGCACATCGCCAGGAGCCTGGAGCAAAAAACAAACAAAAAAAAACAAACCACGGACATTGCATTTTAAGAGAGGGAAAAGGAGAGAAGAAAGCATTTTGCAGAAATTTTTCAAAAACCAATTTGTGGATTCCCATAGTATTTATGTTGAGGGCAGCAAACTTTAGTCCTTCCGACTGACTGTGCTGAAGCTTGGGTGTTGGTGAAAACTCACCGCAGTACAAGCCACAAGAGCTCTCCTGTGGGTAGCACTTAGCATTTGCAAGAACACAGTAAGGCCTTTTTGTCCTTTGATGAGAAATGGCACGGGAAGGCGAGAGGAGGAAGAGGAGGTGATCTGATCTGGAAGATGAGTTTCCCCGATGTGGTGGCTTTTGTGAAAATTTTCATTGGTGTTGAAACCTGGAAAAAAATCATCCAGAATTCATACTGTCTTGACCAGAACCACGGTTCTCTGTTTTTAGATATTGTGGAAAATGTTTTTTTGGCATTTTTCTCTAATTTTATTTCTCTTCCCTCTCCTCCCCTTTTTTTCTAAAAAAAAAAAAAAATTAAAAATAAAAACACGGAAAACACACAAAGCAGAAACAGATCAACAGAAGAGAAAAGGACATTTTATTACTGATGCTGTGTGACCCCTCCTAGCCCTGATTGCTCAGCTGTCTATTCCTGACTTGCCGCCTGCGTAGGAGCCATCCTGTTCCTTCTAATTTGCCCCTCTTCCTACAGGGGAGAACTTCCAAATGTTAATTTTTTTTTCTTTTTAAAAAATAAATAAATACTATTTTGTACTGTGTGGTGTCTTGGTCTTTGGTTTGACTCACCTAGCTTATTTCATGGGTCTGAGTTTCTTGCTGGGGGAATCTGGGGGCTGGGGCTGACCCTGCAGCAGGCCAAGGTTATGTTGGAGGCGTCTGACGAGCAGTAAGGGTGGGTGGAGGCACTGCAATCTCAACTTTGCCGTGGGGACTGTCGGCATCTGCCAGTCTCTCCTTGTGGAGTGTCTGACATTGGACCACCTGTAGTCAGGCACCTCCCTCTGCCAAAGCACTTACTGGCACAGGGCCTTGGTGTGCCCCTTGGCTTTGAAGGCCTAATGCCCAGTCTCCTGCCTCTCTTAACTGAATATTAAAGATGGGGAGAAGGGACATGAACATGGAGATATAATAAAGGGAAATGATTGTTTCTGACTGGTCCTGTCCTTGGCTTGATGGTCTCAGTTAACACTTTGAACCCACAGTCAGCTCCTGGGAGTGCTCAGGGGCACCCCACCAGCTCTTTTGCTTCCAGCAGCATCAGGCAGGCAGAATCCTGGCATACACTATGAAGCTCAGTGGCCGTCTGTCCACAGTGAGTATTATTTAACCTCACGTGGAACCTCACCCTGTTTACTTCCGCTTCTTTTCAATGGACTTAACTTTTGCACCTGCTCTCTAACTTTCATCCATTTCACCTCCCCTAGAAAAGATAGTCTTGGTCTGTTTTCTAGGTAATCAAAGGCAGGATGTGTTTGTTAGAGATCTCCCCATTGTACTTCTTGCTCTCCTCAGAGTCAGCAGTGAGATTCAAGGCCCAGCACTCCAAGTATAAGGATCAGGGCAGACACTAAGTCTCCTCCACCCACAGAGTCGCGCTGCACTTGGCTGTCAGCAGCAGCCGTTCACCTACAGCATATCCTCCGAGCTTCCCAACACCATTCCATTTTACAGATAAGAGAAATTGAGACCCAGAGAAGGATAGCCCCAAGATCACCTAGCACTGGAGTGCCAGATCTTCTCATGTAGCATCCTGAAGATGACATCATTCACTAGACCAAGTCCCATATGTTTTTAAATTTTTTTTAAGATTTATTTTTTTAAAGATTTATTTATTTATTATTACGAAGTCAAATAGAGAGGAGGAGAGACAGAGAAGAAGATCTTCCATCTGATGATTCACTCCCCAAGTGAGCCGCAGTGGCCGGTGCTGTGCCAATCTGAAGCCGGGAACCAGGAACTTCATCCAGGTCTCCCACGCGGGTGCAGGTTCCCAAAGCCTTGGGCCGTCCTCGACTGCTTTCCCGGGCCACAAGCAGGGAGCTGGATGGGAAGTGGAGCTGCCGGGATTAGAACCGGCACCCATATGGGATCCTGGCGCGTTCATGGCGAGGACTTCAGCCGCTAGGCCACGCCGCCGGGACCAAGATTTATTTATTTTTATTGTAAAGGCAGATATACAGAGAAGAAGATCTTCTGTCTGATAGATCACTCCCCAAGCGGCCACAACGGCCAGAGCTGAGCTGAGCCCAAGCCAGGAGCCGCTTCTGGGTCTCCCATATGGGTGCAGGGTCCCAAGGCCTTTGGGTAATCCTCAACTGCTTTCCCAGGCCATAGGCAGGGAGTTGGATAGGAAGTGGAACAGCTGAGATAGAACTGGCACCCATATGGGATCCCAGAAGGCGTAAGGCGAGAAGGATTTGGTCGCTAGGCTATTGTGTCAGGCCCCTGAGTTCCATTTCTGAGGTGACTAGAGACTTGGAAGTAAAGCTTCCTTCCTGTGGGAATAGCAAGAACAAGGCTTGAGAAAGGGGACACTGGTGACCTGCTTTCCGGAAGTCCCAGGATGACAAACCAGGTGAAACTGCTGTCCTCTTCCCTCACGAACGGGCTGGACCAGGGGCTGGTGAGCCAAGGGACTGGACCCTCAGGAGGGTTGCAGTCCTGGCACCCAGCTTGTAGGATGAAGGTCTGTTTGGGGATTGTCAGTATTTGTGGCATTTCTGGTGTGGACTTGACTGTGAGTTGAAGGACCAGCTGAAGCCGCTCAGAGCTGCTCCTCTGTCACTATTGTCTCCTTTCTGGACGTGTTTGTTTTTGTTTGAAATGATACAGTTGAAGCCATCTGGTTCTGACAACATCAGAGCCCCAGCATACTGTTCATAAACCTCCCACTGCCACCACCCCTTCCCTTAGCTCCCCTGCATCTGAAATTTAATTCAAGTTAACTCCACAATCTGGGGCATGTGCTGTCACTGCAGAGATGTCCGTGCCAGTGGAACAGTTGGAGGTTTCAATCCCACAAGGAGATGGCTTATTTATCAAAACAACATTCAGACAAGTAGTCCACAGAACCTCGGAGTTGGCAGTTTCAGGTCCAATTGGAATCTGGCACCGTCCCCATCTTCCCTTCCACCATATTGTCACCCCCACCCTCACCCCCATTTCCCCCTCCCGCTACAAATCTGGCGACCCATGCAAAACAAGCTCGGAGTCTGTGTGGACATCAAACCTCAGTACTGTTGTTAAGCATTTCAGAGGCCTTTGGGTCTTAATGGTTTGGGGGAACGAGGTGCTACTGGCCATTTCCGGTCGCGGAGAGCTCTTCTGTTAATCCCTGGCTAAGGACATGAAGATCCTTTGTGTGAAGCCAGAAGTCCTCTGGCATGCCCACCACTGCAGTTGGTTCTGAAACCTGGTCTAATCCTCCCCGAGAGCTCCACGTTGCGTGAGCCTGGGCGGTAAAGGACAGCCTGCGTGTTGGTGAGCTGAGCTGCACCACCACACTGATTCCTGGCTTTGTTCTGGGATTCAGCTCCTGTGTGAGATCAGCCCACATTCCCCCTGGCAACTCTCCGAGCTCCTTTGGTAGATCTTTGTCAAAGACCAGTCCTTGACTTGAGTCCAACCTTATTTCCCACCACTAATTATCTTTGTCATCAGCTTGGGCTCTGTCCCCTTTATATCATGACCTCTGCCCTCCATCACTAAGACACGTTTCTAATGGCTTGCTGACTAATCTAACATTCAGGTGAGTGTCACCAGGCTGCTCTTTGTGTCCCTTGGACGTGCCAAGTGGATGGTGTTTTTCCTCCTCTCTGTTTCAGAGGTGACCATGCTTTGGTGGGGCCTTTGACCCCAAAGGTGGGAGACAGTGAGCAAGCAGGCAGATGTAGGATGATCGGTATGGGGATAATGAGCTGGGAAAACCGGAAGCTTTGACCTCCATGTGAGGGCAAAAACAGGGATTTTTTGACTGGTGGGTTCTTTATGCCGCTGAGCCATTAGCAAGATGATCATTCCCCCTTCTGTAAATCCTGTAATGCTGGAGTAGAAAGTGGCATCTGGAACTCTGTTTGATTCTGATGTCTGCAGCTCTAGGAAAAAAAGGATTTCAGACTTAAGGGAATTCAGTACAATCAACAGAAATGATTAAGGAGTTGAAGGGAATCAACTCTAGGGGAAAAACATTATGAAGATAAAATATGCACGGCTGGAGTATGGGAGTGGAGCGCCTGGTACCTGCAGCTGAGAGCTCTCTGAGGACTGGGGAGCACACACCAGCTTGTCCTCTGCCACTTCCATCCATTAGGGAGACGGTGGTGTGACTCCCTCAAGGTCACTCAGCCTGGCTCTGAGCCAAAGAACAGCAAGAAGGCAAAGGAGTCACTTCAGGGCTAAAGCAAAGGTGAAAATACAAGAGTTTGCTTGGCAGAGAAGTGGACACATAGCTGCCCAGGCTCCGTTCAAGTGGAGAGAGCTTTGGTACTGTCACAAGCCTAAAAAGGTGACCTCTTCACAAACTGGGGGGGAAAAGAAGGAGCTCCCGGTGGGTCTCCTCGTGCTGTCTGAGGGACATTCAGGGAAGTGAGTGACAGGCTTATAGTCTCAGAACTTAAACTCAGCCTTGGATGGAGCAAACAGTGGCTGAACCCCAGGGAGGCTCCAGACATGGTGCTGGCGCAGGCCAACCAGAAGGATGGGATCTCCGTTCTTCTTACACGAACTGGAGAGATCAAAGGAGAGAAGTCAGAAGGGCCACAGAACTGTGGGCTAAAAAGGAGCTCCTGGGCCCGGCACGATAGCATAGCGGTTAAAGTCCTCACCTTGAATGCACTGGGATCCCATATGGGAACCGGTTCTAATCCCTGCAGCCCCACTTCCCATCCAGCTCCCTGCCTATGACCTCAGAAAGCAGTCGAGGACGGCCCAAAAGTTTGGGACCCTGTACCCATGTGGGAGACCTGGAAGAGGCTCCTGGCTCCTGGCTTCGGATTGATTCAGCTCCATCTGTTGCGCTCACGAACCATCGGATGGAAGATCTTCTCTGTTTCTCCTCTCTGTATATCTGCCTTTCTGATAAAAAAACAAATAAATAAATACATCTTAAAAAAAAAAAAAAAGAAAGAAAGAAGCTGTTGAGTGTAGTTGACAGGCAGGAGGTCAGTGATGACCTAAGAGCAGTTTTGGGCAAATGATGAAGACGGAGACCAAAACTAATGGGGAGGTAGATGACCAAGCCACTCTTCTAGAAGCTTCTCAAGGAGAAAAGAGTGCCTCTCTCACTTTTAAGAATTCTAATCAGTCACCACATTTCTGCCCAGAAGTAAAAATGGTGCACTGATTGTTCCATAAATTACGGACAACTACTAACTGGAGATTGTACTAAAAGTCCTGTCTAATTCATTGGCTCAGCTCCAGCCATTGTGGCCACCTGGGGAGTGAACCAGTGGATGGAAGATCTTCCGCTCTGTTTCTCCTCCTCTCTATATATGTGACTTTCCAATAAAAATAAATAGAATCTTTAAAAAAAAAAAAAGTTTGCTTTGTGCCTTAAGATGTTAATGGTGTGTTGCTAAGAGTGTAACTTTCAGCCCCCAGACGTGCAAGTCCGAGTGCCTTACTGGTTGCCCGCCACGGCTGATTTCAGGTCATCCAGATGCCAGTTGTTGATGCTGGGGGAGATGCACTGCGTGCCCTTGACTGGCATCAGCCATGCACACACCACACTGCAGTTGATTCTTTTATTTTTTTTAAGATT